AAAAACCAAAAAAAAAAAAAAAAAAAAAAAAAGAAAAGGGCTGGGGATGTAGCTGCGTGCATAGGCCCTGGGTTCAATCCCCAGTGCCTGGAGGAAAAAAAGGAAAAAAGAACAGAGCATGGCTTGGGCACAGCATCAGGCAGACGTGGGTGTGGGACCAGCCAGCTCTGCCACTTCCAGGCCTGCCGTTTCTGGTCCTGCCCCTCTGCTCAGACAGGCTTCTTACCTGTGAAAGAAGAATGATAGCATCTACCTGGCAGGGTCATTGAAAGCATTTAATGAGCTAGAGGTAGTATTTACGCACCCTTGTGGCAAGTGTTTGCTACGGTCCTGGCTATTATTTGAATTCAATTCTCCTCTGGTCACTTTTTAGCTTAGCCCCCTTGAGCAACTTATTTAATCACTCTGAGCCTCTCTCTCTATCTTTTATAACTGGGAATAATAACACAGATTTCCAAAAGCCCAGGGACTAAACCCTCAGGACCGGCACACGGTAGCAGCTCGAAAGATAAACACACAGAAAACTGGCCGTTGTGGTTAAGTCACCCTGTACCCTTTCCAGAGCACTTTCTAGTGCCCCAACCAGGTGAGGCAGCCTCTGGCTCGTTAGACTTACAGGGTGGCTGGAGGAGAGAAATGGCCTCCAGAGGGACTGGTCACACTCAGGCCAGGGGGTTGTAGCTCTAGGAACTGTGCCAAAGTAAAAGGCAGAGGATATGGTCACAGAACAAGGAGATCATCTCCCCCATTTTATGGATGAGGTAACTGAGGCCCAGAGAGAACTTAATGACCCTCAATTGAGCACTGATTATGTCCAGGCATCTTACTAAGAATTTCAGTGCTATAGCTCATTTAATTCCCTGAATAGCCCATGAAGGTAGGGCTATTGATATGACTATCATTCTCACCTTACCAATGAGGAACCGGAACCCAGAGTGGAGAAATGGCTTTCTCAAAGTACGCAGATCTCAGAGGTGGGGCCAGGCTTTGAATCAGGGTGCCCTCTGAACACCATGATAGTGCTTCCTGCTTGGTTGTACCACAATGACACGCTTTCTTCTGCTGCTTTTTTTAAGAGACAAGGTCTTGCTCAAGCGATGCCTCTGCCGCAGGCCCTTGAATAGCTGGGACTATACCTGCCCCACCGTGGTGGTC